TGGGGCGCCGCACACTGTCACACAAGAGGAGGGACAATCAGGGGGTTGGGGAGCTCCCCCTATCAGGCACAGAGCAGGGCTGATCAGGGGGTTAGGGCGCCTTCCCCTGTCACGAACAGAGCAGGGCGGATAGAGAGATTGTGGCCCCGCCCCCTGTCACACACAGAGCTGCAGGGCGATCAGGGGGTTTGGGCGCTGCCCCCTGTCACGCTGATCCCGGTGCCGGGAGGCCTCGCAGCTCCGCTGATCCCGGTGCTGGGAGGCATATTACCCTTTTACTATATAGCATAGAGGCCTGGTGCACGGGTGGGGGCCGGCTGGTTTGCCCTGAAGAGTGTACTGGATCAGGGTGGGGGTCCCGCTTGGGTGCCTGGCCAGCCTGGGTGAGGGGCTGATGGCTGTTTGCAGCTGGTCACACCCCCTTCAGGGTGGGGGTCCCCACTGGGGTGCCTGGCCAGTCTGGGTGAGGGGCTGAGGGCTGTTTTCAGGCTGGCGGGTGACTGAAGCTCCCAACCGCTCCTTTTTTCTTTTTCTTTTTTATTCTGGGCCAGCTTTAGCTCTGAGGCTTGGCTCCAACTCTGAGGCCTCTGCTGCTGAAAGCAGGTATCTGGTTTGTTTGGGTTCTATAATCGAAACACTGTTTCAACTCCAGCTCTGAGATCCTGGCTGGCTGAAAGCAGGTTTCTGGGGTTTTGTTTAGCTTCTATATTTGTAACAATGTTTCAAACTGCAAGCTCAGAGGCCGGCAGCGGCAGGCGGGGAACGTTGGCTTCCTCCATCACTGAAGCAAGCAAGCCTCCTATTCGCTTCAAGCTGCCTGGCTGCCGGCCGCCATCTTGGCTGGCAGTTAATTTGCATATCGCCCTGATTAGCCAACGGGAAGGGTAGCGCAGGTACGGCTATTTACCATGTTTCTCTTTTATTAGATAGGATAATGTGAAGTGTTCACTCATAGTTCCTCTTATACCTGCTGGAATCCAAGTTTCTGCCTTTGGACATCTGCCTCTCAGTTTCACTTTGGATATTTGCCTATCTTAGCTTATAAGTATCTGGCAGTTTAAGGAAGTTTAGGAGAAGGTGGTAACCTATGCCCTATTCATGAGTAAGAGACCTTCTTCCTCCTTACTTTTTCAGTTACCTAAATGGTGGTCAGCTATTCCAGACCTTTTTAAGAGAGATGATGATAGGTACTGTACTTTTAGTAGGTTTTGGAAATCTTAGTAACTCTTTTCCTGTTTCTTCTCATACACATCTTGGAATCTTCGTCTTTCTCCTTGACTCTCCTTTCTTCTTCTCATTTAGGATCTGATTGAGAAAGTTGTCATCCTACGGAAAGCTGTACAACTCACACAAGCCATGGACACTAATACTGTAGGAGTTCTTTTGGCTGAGAAGATGAGTCAATATGCCAATTTGTTGGCAGCCCAGGGCAGTATTGCCGCCGCCTTGGCATTTCTTCCTGAAAGCACCAACCAGGTAATTCATTTTTCTCCTTCTAATGTGTGAGTATGATGAGTCCCATAGAATAACGCTCAGTATTAAACATAAACATACTAGTAGGTGGAATGTTTGGAAGGGTTGAATTTTTGTCACATTACTGTAGGTGAATGTTAAGTCTGACAGTTTTGTTTCTTTTTAAATATATTTTTATTGATTTCAGAGAGGAAGGGAGAGGGAGAGAGAGAGAAACATCAATGATGAGAGAGAACCATTGATCAGCTGCCTCCTGCACGCCCCACACTGGGGATCGAGCCCACAACCCGGGCTCTTGATTGGAATTGAACCTGGGACTCTTCAGTCCACAGGTCAACACTCTATCCACCGAGCCAAACCAGCTAGGACTGTCAGTTTTTCAAGGATCACTTTAGGTGTACCCAAGCTGTGTCAGAGAGATAGGATGCTCTTGTAGTATGATTGAACCCTTTGTATGGAGGGGCATAGTATTTGAGGAAAATAAATGGGAAAAGGACCAACTTTTTGTTTCTTAAGCCAGATGCTAATTCTGTCCACAAGTTTCTTTGTAGGAATTTTCCATGTTGAAAAGCTATAAATGTTAATACTTTATCAGACTAGTGGGCTGTAACTTAAAAATTCCCACAAGGTCCATCCCAGATATTAGTGATGAAGTTTATTCGATATGCCATTTCAGTCTGATACCATGTGTGAGCAAGTATGTTTTTAAGTATTCAAGGCAGGAGAACTACATTACATTCCTAATTTAATTTCCTTATTTGGTGTGCAGTAACACTCAGGCTTTTCATTGTATTGGTTTAATTCAATTCAATAAGTAACTGAGTATACAGTGATGAGCAAGAGTGCCAAGATCCTTTTCCTGGGGGAGTTTCCAAACTCAAAATGACTGTGTACAAATGAACATGAAATTCCAAAAGTGCAGAGTGCTGTGGTAGAGGTAGTGCTGTGGGAGCACAGAAGAGGGAAACCTAAAACCCATGATGGGGCATGGGTGGGAGTAAGGGTAGGGTTTGAGGAAAATATTTTGTTTTTTATAAACATTTAGAAAAATATATTTTTATTATTTCAGAGAAGAAGGGAGAGGAAGAGAGATATAGAAACATCAATGATAAGAAAGAATCATTGATTGGCTGCCTCCTGCATGCCCCCTACTGGGGATCGAACCTGCAACCCAGACATGTGCCCTGACCAGGAATTGAACCGTGACCTCTTGTTTCATAGGTTGATGTTTAACCATAGAGCTACACCAGCTGGGCTGAGGAAAGTTTTTATAACTACACTGTGTGTCTGCAGCTTATTTTTGAGCTTTGCAGATATTTTTTCTCTATACTGTATTTTTTTTCTCTGTGTATGAATGAGTCTATGGTTTTTAATTTAATTTTTTAAATCTTTTCTTGTTGAAAGTATAACATATGTCCTCTCCCCCGCCCCGTTGACCTTCTAGCCCACCCCAGGCCTTCACCACCCTAATGTCTGTGTCCATGGGTTATGCATATATGCATACAAGTTCTTTGGTTTATCTCTTCCCACCCCCACCCCCACCTTTTTATTGTAAACTTTATTCTGTTTTTATGGATTTTTTTAGTTTAAATTGTTTTAAGTATTTTGTCTGCGTTAGGGAATTACCAATAAATTTCATTGAGTAAAAACACATCTGTGTTCCAGGACTGTGGTGATATGATTCTGCAGTTGGTTTTATATACACTTACATGTAGGAGACAGCTCATATTTTTCTAAATTATTAATAAGTATATTAGGTAGAATAGAAACTTAATCTTCATGATGACTTTTAATATATATATATATATATATATATATATATATATATATATATTTAATTGCTTTCAGAGAGGAAGTGAGAGAGAGAGAGAGAGAGAGAGAGAGAGAGAAACATCAGTGATGAGAGAGAATCATTGATCGGCTGCCTCCTGCACACCCTGTACTGGGGATTGAGCCCGCAACCTGGGCATTTGCCCCTGACCAGAATTGAACCCGGGACCCTTCAGTCTGCTGGCTGATGCTCTAACCACTGAGCAAAACCAGCTAGGGCTTTGATAACTTTGACTTAATAGTTTTATATGACTTTTTACTTAATATGGTCTCATTTTTTAAAAATTATTTAGAGGAGAAGGGGGAGATGGGGATGGGGGGGAGAGAGAGAGAGAGAGAGAGAGAGAGAGAGAGGGAGGGAGAAACATAAACATTGATTAATTGCCTCCTGCATGCGCCCTGACCAGGCCAGGGATTGAACCCACAACCTAGCTATGTGCTCTGACCAGGAATCAAACCTGCAACCCCTCAGTGTACGGGCAATGCTCCAACCCACTGAGCCACACCAGCTGGGGCAGGTCTCATTTTATATTATTGAGCTATAAGATGCTTTTAAGACTAACTTAATCTAAGATCTTTAGATCTTCTAGCCTTAGAATTAAATGGTTTATTTTCAGTACTATTTATAACCACATACATTTTCTTTCTTTCTTTCTTTCTTTTTTTTTTATATGTAACGCTTCACCAATTTGCATGTCATCCTTGCACAGGGGGCCATGCTAATGTCTGTATCGTTCCAATTTTAATATATGTGCTGCCGAAATGAGCACCACATACATTTTCTATACATTATTCTTTATGGTTTTCTTTGGGCTTCTAAAGAATGTTTTTTATATAAATGTAATCTTGATGTTTCTTTCTCCTACGTATCTTAGTAGACCCTTAGTATTTTCTGGGGAATATGTCCCAAGATTTTTTAAAAAAATATATTTCTTTATTGATTTCAGAGAGGAAGGGATAGGGAGAGAGAGACAGAAACATCAATGATGAGAGAGAATCATTGATCGGCTGCCTCCTGCATGCCCCATACTGGGGATGGCGCCCACAACCCGGACATGTGCCCTTGGCCAGAATCGAACCCGGGACTCTTCAGTCCACAGGTTCTATCCACTGAGCCAAACTGGCCAGGGTTGTGTTGAGATTTTTTTGATATCGTTATAGTATACAATTATCCTCCATAAAAGACAATAAAGAATACCTAAAATGTCTAAATGACATGAACTTATAGAAATGTATAATTTTAAAGGTATTGAAATGAATTCTTGCTGAAACAGTTTAACATTGCCTTTTTATTGTTAATATAGAACATGTATATAGTCAGCTCATACTGTAGATCTGCATAGTTGTAGATCTGTATAATTTCTTTGAGTTTGACATCTTATTTAAAACATCTTTTTAAAGTAGTCTTTATCTCATTCTTAGAGCATCATTTTCTTTCATCACCATCTTTAGCAGTTGATTCTCTTTTGGGGCCTTTTTTCCCTACAAAGAAACAAAGTTATATTTTTTAACTACTTTTGTGATTTGTGAGCATTACTCAACTATAAGAAAACAACAGAAGAGCAGTGATGAGAAGTGACATTGATCTTGTATGCCATCATGTGGTCAGCATAATTCAAATCACTGCGTCAGTTACATTACAAGTTACTCTATGTATAATGGACCTTTGGTGTCAAGTCTTGAGTATTAGAATGATGTCAAAACCTAATGTGCCAAGGTCTATCTATATATATAAAAGCCTAAGTGACCATTTCGACCGAACGACCAGAACGACTGGAACAACCGGTTGACTAGTTGCTATGACATGCACTGACCACCAGGGGGCAGACGCTCAACGCAGGGCAGCTCCCACAGCTAACCTCCTGCGGCCCGGCCCTGCCGGCCCCCCCATCGGCCCTGATCAGGGGGCCACCGGCCAACTTCCCGTGGCCCTTCCACCACCCCCCACCCCCCCATCACCAGCCAGGTTGAGGGACCCCACCCATGCACGAATTTGTGCACCGGGTCTCTGGTTGTAAAATACACAGTGTATGAGCAGATGCATGAATGATCAAGCTTATAGTCAAACCTCAGTTCTTGAACATCTCTCATCTATAGCAGTTCGGTTCTCGGCCAAGTTATTCATGGAAAAAATGTCTTGGTTGTTGAACAAAACTGGATCTCCGCTCTACAACCCATTCATGTTGATACCTGTGTGATCAGTCACGAGTTTCTCAAGGAACAAACAAAGGAGAGAATGTGCGAGTATGAGTCAGTTTACTGCTAAACTTGCATTGTTAACATCTCAGGAAATTGTGTTGTGAATATTTTTGTGTTTTTTTGCTTTTGTTGCTGCTGATTTTTTTTTCCTTTTTTAATTTTATCCTACTCGTGTCACTCTGTGCTTGTCCCTTCCCCTCAACCCTGACCCTCTCCCTCCTTCACCCTGCCCTGGCCTGCTGGCCTGCTCCACCCCTCCTGCCATGGGGCAAGGTTAAAGGCTGAAAAGGACAGGCCAGACAGTATTTGGGATCAGCATTGGGGATCAAATGGCCCTGCAAGGAGGTCTGTTGCTGCTTAATAATTATACCCTGGGTCCTAAGAAGGTTAGTGATAGCAACAAAGTGAAAAGAAAAATTGTGAGAACAAAGTAGGGGTCTGGAGCAGATGAATTCAATTTACATAACTTCTAATGGGGAAAAAAAGATTCAGTTTTTGAACAATTCACTTCTACATATCGCTTCTCAAACAAGGTCAAGAACCAAGGACCACTGTACTTTAAGAAAATCAACATACTGTCATATATTGGGGTGATCTCTAACAATTTGCCTTGTTTTCTTCCATTGCTTCTTATAGCCAAATATTGTGCAGCTTCGTGACAGACTTCGTAGAGCACAAGGAGAGCCTGTACCAGGACAGGAATCACCTCAAGTACCTTATGAGAGGCAGCAGCTGCCCAAGGGCAGGCCTGGACCAATTGCTGACCAAACACAGATTCCAAGAGTTCCAACTCAACAATATTATCCCCATGTGAGTGAAATGGTCCAGATGACGTCGGAACATTTACGTATTTCTGTTCAAATTGGTGGTTTTAGCTTGTTGGGTTAAGAGACCTTGTATGCTATGATAAAAATAGACAACATATTCTTCAAATATTTAAGGTGTTCTTTTATTTATTTTAAGATATTTTTTTAAAATTAGCCCTTTAATCTAGTCCAATAGATTATATTTTAGATATACATTTAAGCTCTCTAGGGAGATTTCTTATTTTTCCATCACTCAAACTTTCCTTACACATGTACGTTTGTTCTTGAAACTTCTACAATTTGATTCATTTACCAAACTGTAAGTAAAGTGGTGGCAACAATTTTGTGGTTAATTTTAGAAAATAGTCTTTTTTGAGTATTCTTTCCTGAATCATTAGTGTAGGTTTACCCCGTCTTCTGTATCAGCATGATAAGGAGTATTGAGAATACACACTTTTTGGGGGGACAACTTGGATATTACAGAAAAGTGAGTGACCAAGGGTTTATGAAGTTGTAGTTCACAGTGGGTATGAAAATGATTAAATATTTTAATTAATTAATTAAATTAAAATTGCCAAAAGTTCAGTGGCATAAAATGTGTCCCTTATTGTCTTTTACTATTTCATGTAGAGAATTATATTTCTAGACCATCAGATAACCTTAGTGTTATTAAAGGAAAAGTATATTTTCATAAGTAATATATGGTCTTGATTGAACAAAGTTAACAGGTAGTTGGCCTATTTTATTTTATAAATTTTTTTACTATGCCCATTTTAAAATAGAACAAATTGCTAATAGAATTGGCAGAGTCTTTCTTTTTTTATTTTTTTAAAATATAATTTTATTGATTTCAGAGAGGAAGGGAGAGGGAGAGATAGAAACATCAACGATGAGGGAGAATCATTGATCGGCTGCCTCCTGCATGCCCCCCACTTGGGATTAAGCCCGAAACCCAGGCATGTGCCCTGACCTGGTATCAAACTGTGATCTCCTGGTTCATGGGTCAACGCTCAACCACTGAGCCACACTGGCTGAGCGGCAGGGTCTTTCTTACATTTCATTGTAGCAAAGTAAATATAAAATGAAAAATTAAAAAAAAATCAAATCATGCTTTTTGGTCTATTGTACTTTTTTTGGTGTGTATGTAAATCAAGATAGATTACATTTGGTAACAACTAGAGTACTCTCTGTTTTAGCAGTTTTGTTTTTTATTCATTTGACAAATATTTATTGAGAGCCTACTGTGAGCGCCTATCCTTATTCTACCTGTTAGAGGTATATTGGTAAACAAAACAGATTTAATTCTTCACTTTTGTGGAGATTAAGCCTGACTTGGAAAGTCTATGACATAGGTAGGGCAAATGAGGTGATTGCTGGGAAAACTGAGAGGTGGAGGGGTCAAGCAACCAACCAGAGTTTTAAGACATAGAGCTTGAATTTTTCACTATTGTGTGGCTAATTAATTGGCAGTTTGGGACTAGAACTTCTAAGCACCATGAGTTGGACCACACTGTCTCTCAGATACTGAAGTAGTAAGGCATTCTGTACATGGGGAGAAGAGAGTATTTACTCTTTATGTCCCTGGGCTTATATGTCTTTCTAGAAAAACACAAAAACATCAAGACTTTTGTTTTACTTTGACTTAGCAGTCTCATACTTTAAGAAAAGAAAGACAAACTCAACCATAAATTAAGCAGTAATTTTCTTGATTAAAGTTAATGCTATGCTGAATGAGGACAGTGGCTTATGGTTTTAAGGAATGTTTACTGGCAGGAGTAAAGGGCTGAAAGGAAGACCAGATTCTTAGGAGTTCTACTTCCACTTCCACTAGCAAATCTCTGCTATTAGTTGTTTATGTGTTGGAGTTTCTCCAAAGATTTTCTTACACAAAAGATTTTGATGGCTTAAAAAAATATTGAAAACCTCTGGACTCTGGGGTAAGCAACATGGGATAGTGAAGCAGACATTAGCCTGGAATCAGGAGACGTGGAATCAGTTGTAACTCCTTCACCAGTGAGTTGTATGGACCTCAGCAAACCCCTTCATTTCTCTGGGCTTTGATTTTCTCGATGGTAAAGGGTGGGGATTAAACCAAATATTCTTTAATATTTTCTGTATGATTCTAAGCCTCATATGGGACTAATTTTATTTTTGTGGCTCTAATGAAATCTAGAAAAGGGAATTTACAGCTGAACTAATAATAGTAGCATGAATACTCTTAATGCTTCAAAATAATTTTTTTATTCAGTTATCTTTTTTCTCAGAATGTCTTCTTTCCTTTCCTACTTACAGGACCTAGCTTTCCCCCTCTTATTCTTGACACTTGAATGGCATTGTTCTTTGTGCTTTGATTTAGTTTTCCATATTGATTTTTCCACTGCCTCGCTCCGCTTGTTTTAATGTGAATGTGTTTTTCTTTTGGAATCCCAGCTTGAAAGCAGTTGCCTGACTAATGTGCTGTCTTGCCGCTGTTGATGTTTTGCTTTGCATATGGCTGTTAATGCCTTTGGGGTTTTTCTTTCTTCTTTTAACATTTTCATTTTTTTATTTTCTGTGATTGGTGTTTCTTTGTTCAATTCAGGTTAGAATTGCCCCTACTGTCACTACCTGGAGTAACAAAACTCCTACCGCCCTTCCCAGACATCCACCTGCTGCCTCTCTCTCTGACACACAGGTATATCCTTCATTATTCCTCTTAGAGCAGAATTCTGCTCACCTAAATATATATAGTTAAATATTCTCTACCCCCCTTTCTCAATTTCCCC